TTCGGATAAGTTCGTGCTTCGGGAGTGACCGAAGAATGCACACGCGTACGAGGCGAATTCTTATACTAATAGCGTAATCGTTCGGTATCGTGTAATCGGTTTCTCTAATTCTGCACTTTCACTCGGTGGAACTGAAAGCCTAGATGAAATGTAAACCTTTGGCAAAATGTTGGTCCGCATGGTCGAACGATTTTCTCCGCTGGAAATTCGTGCGGACAAAAGTCGATCGAGCTTCCACTGCTCCCTTCGTTAGGGGTGAAGTGTGTTTGGGACTGTGAGAACCGTGTCGCGTAAATTCGTACGTAGAACCGAGGGGTGTGTAGGCTGTTGTCGGATACGAACTTGCATAGCGTTTCTTGGGTACGAGCGCGTCGGTTACCTCCTCGCATAGTATTCCGTCGTTTATGCCGTAAAGTGACGTATCGCGTCGTGACTTGTAGTGACGTGACGCGCATGTCGTTGAACCTAAACGCATCGGTTACGCTTGCAGATTCGTCATCGGGAACAGCGGCGTGTAGTACACCGAGAAGGAGAAATTTATTTTCATACGTCTTTCCGCACAGCCACGGCTGCATTAGCTCGCGTGGTCGCGAGGCTGAAACATCGATTTACCTACACGCTTCTCTACCTTCTCCGCGATTACGTATCGCGCCCGTTTGTCTAAAATTTCTACGAGCACGATCAACGATCAACCGTCGCGGCGGCTTTCTCGATATTTCGTCGTAGAACGCGAAAGGACGTTGTTCGGGTTACACGGTAAATTGATAGCGGGCCGGCACTAACCTCCAAACGCGATATCCGCGTCGATTTCGCGTTAATTAAAAATCAAGCCGGGACAACAAAATGCAAAAGCTACCCCTATCGCGCGTTCTTCCCTAGTACGTGCCTACTGCGCACGCATTTGGCTCACGCAGGCGCACGCACACGCACGAAGCATCGGTGAAAGAGACGGAAAGGGGTGAGAGAGGAGGTCGAGGGAGAGATGAAGAAAGAGAGAGAACAACAGGGTTCGCCTCCCTCGTGCCGCTGATTCTCCGCGAGGACAGTGGCCGTGACCCGAGGCCGAGGGGCCTGGGGAGGGGTCGGTGGCCCCGTGGCAGTTTAGCGACGACATCCACGCTGCCGTTCCACTGGTGGGGGAACCTCGTGGGTGTGCGGGGTGGGTAGGGAGAAGTTGGAGCGGCTGTCCGCGTGGTGGGGGTTAGCCGTGTGGCCGTGTGGTGGGGAATATAGCTTAGGGGTATAGCGAGCTATCGTTGGCTTTGTTCAATGAAAGAGAGATCCAGTATTCTTTCGTCTCGTCTCGTTCTCTGTTTCTTTTTTACTCTTTCTCTCTTTCTTTCTCTCGGTATCCCTTCGTCACCCTCTCTCGCTCGCTCACCCTCGTTTTTCGCTTCTCCGATCCTCCCTCCAACGCAGTTGCGGCCAACGTGCAAAAGTGCTTCTGCTGCTGCTGCTGCTGCTGCTGTCGCTGCTGCCGTTGCCTGCTGCTTCTGCTGCCTGCTGCTGCTGCTGCTGGCTGGTTCGAATGGATAGAACGATATCGTCCTCGTCTAGCAAACGAGAGACGACCACGGCGCATCGCTTTAGTTTCTTTCTTTCTCTCTCTCTCTCTCTCTCTCTCTCTCTCTCTCTCTCTCTCTCTC